TTAGTGGATTTGACTATCGAATTATATTAACGGTTTGTAAAAAGATATTTAAAAAAATTAACTGTTTAGATTAACATGTAAAATGACCTAAGGGTATAATAATAATAATAATAATAATAATAATAATAATAATAATAATAATAATAATAATAATAATAATAATAATTGTTTTAAAATAATAATAATAGTAATGATAATAATAATAATTTAATAAAAAATAAAATTAAAAAAAATAAAAAATAAAACATATGTGGAGCTGAACGTTCAGCTCCTTTTAATTTTGTCACTTTTCCTACATCGGTGAGAAAAGTGGCATGGGAGCATTGAGGCTCCTTTAAAAGGAGCCATAAGGCTCCAATTTAAAAATTAAGCTTGCTCATCCGTTGAAAGAAGCAGTGAGCCAGGGAAAGTGGCTCTTGTTATTCAAGGAGTCGAAGTGGCTCTACAGTAAACTTTTTTATTTATTTATTTAAATATAGAGGTGTTTTGGGAAAATCATTCTCAAAAACTCTAACTGAAAATATTGTAAATTGCAATATTTGTATTTTCAGTGGTTTGGAACAAATTGTTGCTTCCTGTTGAATAACCAAACACTTTTTTTAGCATTTTGATCTTTGGGTTACATCATATTTACCAATCGTCCAATATCTTTGGGTTACATTATAATTAAAAATATTAAATTTTTACTACATCTAAATTCCTTAAATTAGTAGTTTCTTTATCCATAATAATTTATTCAACAATAATGGTTGAACTAAATGAACACTGAGCAAAACACCTAAAGGACTGGTACCATGATTCATTTATTGATCTTGTATATATGTGCATTAATTGAATATATTAGAACCCTTTTCAACAAAAATACTTGATTACTATTTAAAAAAAGTTTAGTAACAATTATACTGAATCTCCTATATTACATTGTATTCATATACTATGAGTGACATATTTAAATAAACAAATTCGACATTAAATTACTTATGTATGAACTTCTCATATATAATCTTGCATTGATATACTTTCAAATATTTATTTAATTATAAACATTGGTCATTTCCTCATTCGCACAGTGCGAGTGTAAAACTAGTCTACTATATATATATATATATATACTAATAAGAGCCCAAGAGAGTTAAGCCTATAATTGGTAAAAAAATGGCGGTCACAGATTTTAATCAAATGAATGGCTCAGATTGATTAAAAGATTGATCAGATTTAAATTTTACACTAAATTTCCTAAAATACCCACACACCGTTACTAATTCCGTTAAAATTTTAAGAATTGCTGTTAGTTCACCGTTAACTTACTCATTGATTTTAATAAAAAAAAATGTCTTAGGTTCGAACCTCATCCCAATCAAAGTTGGCATAATTAGTACTTTATTTTACTCTTATTAAATTATATATAAATAATAATTTAGTAGTTACAACAAAAAATAATACATATGCATTTCTTTAATTTAGAATTATGTGTCCACAATGCCTTTATTCAAAAAAAAAATTATTCATTATCAATAAATTAAATAAGATAAATAATTTTATTAGTTATGTTGTCTTTATTTTTCTTCAATATAAAAATTCTTTATATTCAAATTTATTAATTGATTATATTCGCTACATTGTCCTTACAATGTCTTTATTCAGTGAAAAAAAATTATTAATTATCAATAAATTAATTAAAAGAAATATTTTCATTAGTTATATTGTCTTTATTTTTCTCAAATGTAAAAATTTTTACATTCAAACTCATCAATTGATTATATTCACTACATTATCTATTATGTTTTTTGTGCACTATTTTTCTAATTAAATATCAAAGTTATAATACAAAATAATGCTATATATTTATTTACCAAGTATTTTATTAATACCATGAAAAAATTAAAAAAAATATAATTAATAAAGCCAACCATATTAACTACTTGAGAGATTTTGTGACAAAGGGAGTATTCAAATCACACAACAAATTGAAGTGGGAACTACCTCGCAATGTCCTTGTTTGACAATCAGCAGTTAGCGGATTATACTAGCGGATTTGACCAGCGAATTTATTTAATTATTAACATTGGGTAGAAAAAATGACCGCCAAATTATTAAATCAAATGAATGGTTCATATTGTTCAGGTTATAATTGTTTTCTTTTAAGATTTTCTAATTTATCCTTAATTATATGATTATCCATTTAACTTTTCCGTTAATTCACCGTTAGTCTAATTCTAATATTAAAGTCTAATATAGAATTATAACTAAACCATTAATCTAATTCTAATATTAAAGTCTTAATAGAACTTAACCACAAATCCTAACGTCGGAATCTCCTCAAACAATATTAGTATATATTTAATATTTTATGCCCTAATTTTTATGTGTTCTCCCTTATGTCCCGTATTTGGTTTCAACTATACCTATACAATTATTTTATTGACAATTATAATCAATCTTGATTATATTATTTTGCATTTGTAAACTGAGAATTACCTATTTAACCCGCACGGGCTTAGCTCAATGGTTTAGTGGGTAGTATTTGGGAGAAGAGACCAACGTTTGAACCTCGGCGGCGACAGTGCGAGAATTATGTCCAAAGTGGGCAGATTCCTTGTGCGTATCAGCATTTGACCCTGTCTACTGAACCATTGAGTCACCTTGATTTACAACTTCCCACAATGCTCTGTCGGGCCGGAGTGTGGGGGGCCCTTGGGGTTGAGGACTTAACCTTTGGGAAAAGAATTACCTATTTAAATACACAAATTCAACCTTCAATTATCTATGCATGAACAATTTCAATATAATCCTGCCTTAATATACTTTAAAGTACTTATTTAAAAAAAAAAAAAAAGCATTGGGCATTATCCCAATCGCGCAATGCGCGTAAAAAACTAGTATTATAATAAGCGCAAATTTATCTCCAAGTAGCATAAGTTGTAAATTTAACCCTTTTTTTTATAGAAAAAATGGCAAAATTGTGGAGATAAGTTGTAAATTTAACCCTTTTTTTTATAGAAAAAATGGCAAAATTGTGGAGATAAGTTGTAAATTTAGCCCTTTTTTTATATAGAAAAAATGGCAAAATTTACAACTTATGCTACTTTCTCTTGCCCCAAATAAGATAATAACTTTCTCTTGCCCATCCATAACTTTATCAAGGACGCAAATGGATGCACAATACTTTTTCATTAGTGCTAATTTTGCCGAATTTGCCACACAGGGTGAGAATGCAAGTGCAAATTGTCTCGGAATGCACTACTAAATGCAGTATGTAACCCTCCGTTCCTAGTTTATTTTTTGAAATAAGGGTCAAATAGATTAATGAACTGCACACAATTATGTAATTAGACTCTTAATTTACAAAATAAAACAATTGAATCCTTAAACTAACTCATTTCATGCAAATTTTTCAATTTATCAGTTTTCTCTTCTAACAGGTTATCCAATTTTAAATATTTAAAAAAAATTAAACAAAATAATTATTTAAAAATAAATTTTTAGAAAAAAAAAAAAAACTTAGTCTCCTCCAAAGACGAAGATACCTTCTTCATCTCCATGACCGGAGACGAAGATGTTTTTTTTTTTTTTTTTAAATTTAATTTTAAATACTTATTTTATTTTAAATTATTTTAATTTTTTTACAAATAGGTAATATGATAGAAATTGGAAAAAAAAAAAGGACAAATTGGACTAATTACATGAAATCGATTAGTTTAGATATTCAATTGTAGTTCTTTTTAGATTCAGTGGCCTAATTGCATTATTATTTGTAATTGAGTGGCTTATTTGACCCTTATTTCATTTTTTTTTATTCTCCAAAACTATGTGGTTTAATGGTACTCGGGTTGGACTTTCATTTGAAAGCTTGTGAGTTCAAGCCTAAGTATATGAGTATGTGAACAAGAATATGACAAATTCATATGATGCCTATCATTTATATAATGGACAAATGTTGTACATTTTAGCATCAAATTCACGTTGCATTGCATGTAAGGTTGCTGCAAGCTCTGCTATTTGGTACAAAATTCCTATATGAGTTAAAAGAGTCTACTATATGGAACCCAATTTTCTACTACCAATAAATTATTAACATCTAAATTTTAAGTGAAAAAAATAAAAGCACAGGACAGAATTTGGAAATTCAAGTAATATTTTTCGAATTAAAATTGCTGGCTGCTAGCCTGCTATTATTGGTGAATATCCATTGGTTTATCACTCCAATAAATTTATTTCATTGGACTTTTTGGATTCTTCAACCTCACTTTTGAAAATTCATAGGAAAATATTATGTGTATTCTCATTTTTTACTTTTACATATAAAATTTTGATGTAAACACTTGTATTGGGACTTTAAAAAAAAAAAGTAATTTATTAGTGTCCTCCACATCAGAAAGAAATTTAGGGGGTGTCGCACAGTTGGCTAGATAACCACAAGATTTTAAGTTAAATTATCCGTAAGAGAGGTTGTCTATTGACCTCTTAATTTGAGTCAGACGTCTATAAACAACTTAGGATATCTACTTTACATCTTGATAGTTCTTTGCCAATTAAGGTTACAAAATAGACTCCGGAGTTTTTCATAAATCAAAGATATTATTTTGTAACACTAGGCACAATATTTTTGGATGACGAAAAAAACTTGCAACCACTAATCGAATTTGTACTATGTAAATTCAATTTCTGTATAATATGTCACAAATCACATATAATAGATAAAGCACATTAAAAAAAAAAAAATCTTATGTAACGACCTTTACAACTCTATAATTAATCAAATTATATTAAAATGGCATCCGCGTTGGACTTCCACATGGAGGTTGTGAGTTCGAGCTGAATGCGTTATTGACTCTTTGTTCTTTGTAGGTTGAGAAAGCTAAGTAGTTATGAACATATACTAATAGTCAAGTAGCATTCAAAAATATTAAAATGGCACCATCCATTTTAATTAATCAAATTTTGTCTTCCCCATCAACTCTATAAATTGGGACATTATTGTAATCGAGCTAATTAAGATAGCAGCCATGGCTTTAACTACCATTCCAATTTCATGCATTATTACCACCGCCAATTTATCATCTTCTCCCCACCCCTTCCCCAGAAAACATCCCAAGATCTCATCACTCAATTCAAATGCACCAAAACGTCACAACACAATCTCTTGTGCAGCCTCGTCTTCAAACGAGGACGGTCACAAAAACCCAGTACCGTCGTCGGACAACATCTCTGACCGGAAACTTGACCGGAGAAACGTCCTGTTAGGCCTCGGCGGCCTCTACGGCGCTTACACCGTCGACCCCTTTGCCCTGGCCGCTCCGGTCCCCGCCCCTGACATTACAAAGTGCGGCCCGGCTACTATAAGCTTTAGTGAGGATAAAGTGCCGTATTCATGTTGCCCTCCGTTTTATGGCACCATTTCTGATTATACGGTGCCCAGTTTCACGCAGCTTAACGTCCGGCCGGCGGCTCACACCGTCAGTGAATCGTATATAAGGAAGTACAAGACCGCCATTAAGAAAATGAAGCAGCTTTCCTGTGATGATCCCAGAAACTTCTACCAGCAAGCTAACGTCCACTGCGCTTACTGCAATGGCGCTTATCAACTCGCCGGTCAAGCTTACGATATCCACCCTTCATGGCTCTTCTTCTCCTTCCATAGATGGTACTTGTACATTTACCAGAAAATTCTTGTGATTACCAAGTCAACTAACTGTCTAACTAACTTATTTTAATTGTCCAAAATGATAGGGAGTAATTTTTTTAGGTGACAACGGAAACTGGCAGTCACCCAGAGTATGCACCAAGTAAACTCGGTCTTGCCACAATAATATACCATAGTTGATCGGTGCAATTAAGAAGGAAAATCTCACCTTGTGACTTAACTAGTTAGTAAAAAATCACTAGATAAATCAATATATAAGTTGACCAAAGGAACGGTACGACTCACAATTTACCTCTGCAATAATTTTAGGAGGCTGAATGTTTAGGATTAGTTCGACGAAACTGGAATCACTTACATAAAATAAAATAAATTGTCTATAATTTAGTGATTCAAATCAAGAATGTCAATAATTTGGTGCATTGTATGTGCAGGTACTTGTACTTCTACGAGAGGATATTGCAGTCCCTGATTAACGACCCTACATTCGCCTTGCCATATTGGAACTGGGACAACCCACCGGGCATGTTTTTCCCGGCGATCTTCGAAGACGATGAGTCATCGCCGCTCTATGACGAGTTCCGCAACCAGGAACACCTAGGCCGCTTCCCCATGGACCTAGCTTACGCCGGCCAAGATCTCGCCGCCAGAGAATCGCAGATAATTAAGAACAATCTGGCAATTATGTACCGTCAAATGGTGACTAACGCGCCGTGCCCGTCGCTCTTTTTCGGCGCCGCTCTGACATCTGACGGGTACGGCCCGGGCGGTCCCGCCAGCGGAACCGTCGTGAATGTTCCGCACAATTCCGTTCACCGGTGGGTTGGTGACCCCAGAACGCCGCATAACGAGGACATGGGCAACTTCTACTCCGCCTCTAAAGACCCGGTTTTCTATTGCCACCACTCCAATGTCGACCGGATGTGGACCATCTGGAAGACTCTGGGCGGCAAACGTATGGATATCGCCGACAAAAATTATCTAAACTCAGAGTTCTTGTTCTACGATGAAAACAAGAATCTTGTCAAGGTCAAAATTGAAGATAGTTTTTTATGCAGGGCAAGGTACAAGATTTAAATATTACCAATGACTAAAAGGTTAAGAGAAGTATGAATTTGACCTTGTTGTGAGCACTAGTATACAAGTATTGGGGAGTGTATCGACCTGTTGAGACATATTCAACGATTTACTTTCTCCACCTATCTCCAAGACAAAAGTGGTGAGGGGATTTTTAAGTTTGGATTTTGTAGCGAAAATATAGGAATATGACAAATTGATATGTATCCATTAATATAATGGACAAATGTTGTACATTTTAGCATCAAATTCACGTTGCATTGCATGTAAGGTTGCTGCAAGCTATGCTATTTAGTACAAAATTCCAATATGAGTTAAAAGAGTAAAGAGTTCTACTACATTAAACCCAATTTTCTACTCCCAATAAAATGTTAACATCTCAATTTTAAGTGAGAAAATAAAAGTATGTGACAGAACTAGAGAGTTCGAAGTAAAATTGTTGGCTATTAGCCTGCTATTATTGGTGAATATCATCGATTGGTTTAGCACTGGACCAACACTCCAATAAATTCATTTCATTGGACTTTTTTGGATTCTTCGACCCCACTTTTGAAAATTCATAAAATATATATATATATATATATATATATATATATATATATATATATATATATATTATGTGTTTTCTATTTTTTACTCTCAACTTTTATTTTTACACACAAAACTTTGATGTAGAGACTTACATTGATTTTCACATGAAAAATAGCTTTTCAGTGTCTTGCTACATTGGGATCCGAGAAATTTAGATAGTAAGATTTAGGAGTTCGAACTCTTTCAGATATTATTGTCTAATAATATCTATCTTTGTCGGACAGTTGGCTGGATAACCACAAGATTTTAAGTTAAATCATCCGTAAGACAAGTCTATTGACATTCTTAATTTGAGTCATTCAGCTATGAGTAACCTATGATAGTTACTTTACATCTTAATAGTCTTTTGCCAATTAAGATTACAAAACAGACTCCAAGATTTTTCTATAAATCAAAGATAATAGGTAAACTTAGTTTTTGTATAATAACTCACAACCAGTCAACCATTTTAATTAATAATTAATCAAATTTTGTCTTCCCCATCAACTCTATAAATTGGGACATTATTGTAATCGAGCTAATTAAGGTAGCAGCGCAGCCATGGCTTCAACTACCATTCCAATTTCATGCATTATTACCACCGCCAATTTATCATCTTCTCCCCACCCCTTCCCCAGAAAACATCCCAAGATCTCATCACTCAATACAAATGCACCAAAACGTCACAACACAATAATCTCTTGTGCAGCCTCGTCGACGTCAAATGAGGACGGTCACAAAAACACAGTACCGTCGTCGTCGGACAACATCTCTGAACGGAAACTTGACCGGAGAAACGTCCTGTTAGGCCTCGGCGGCCTCTACGGCGCTTACACCGTCGACCCTTTTGCCCTGGCCGCTCCGGTCCCCGCCCCTGACATTTCAAAGTGCGGCCCGGCTACTATAAGCTTTAGTGAGGAGAAAGTGCCGTATTCATGTTGCCCTCCGTTTTATGGCCCCATTTCTGATTATACGGTGCCCAGTTTCACGAAGCCTAACGTCCGGCCGGCGGCTCACGCCGTCAGTGAATCCCTATCGTATATAAAGAAGTACAAGACCGCCATTAAGAAAATGAAGGAGCTTCCGTGTGATGATCCCAGAAACTTCTACCAGCAAGCTAACGTCCACTGCGCTTACTGCAATGGCGCTTATCAACTCGCCGGTCAAGCTTACGATATCCACCCTTCATGGCTCTTCTTCCCCTTCCACAGATGGTACTTGTACTTCTACGAGAGGATATTGCAGTCCCTGATTAACGACCCAACATTCGCCTTGCCATATTGGAACTGGGACAACCCACCGGGCATGTATTTCCCGGCGATCTTCGACGACGACGAGTCATCGCCGCTGTATGACGAGGTCCGCAACCAGGAACACCGCGGCAGCTTCACCATGGACCTAGCTTACACCACCCAAGATCTGGCCGCCAAAGAATCGCAGATAATTAAGAACAATCTGGCAATTATGTACCGCCAAATGGTGACTAACTCGCCGTGCCCGTCGCTCTTTTTCGGAGCCGCTCTGCGAGCTGACGGCTACGGCCCGGGCGGTTCCGCCAACGGAACCGTCGTGAATGTTCCGCACAATTCCGTTCACCGGTGGGTCGGTGACCCCAGAACGAAGCATAACGAGGACATGGGCAACTTCTACTCCGCCGCTAAAGACCCGGTTTTCTATTGCCACCACTCCAATGTCGACCGGATGTGGACCATCTGGAAGACTCTGGGCGGCAAACGTATGGATATCACCGACCAAGATTATCTAAACTCAGAGTTCTTGTTCTACGATGAAAATAAGAATCTTGTCAAGGTCAAAGTTCGAGATAGTTTGGACAACGAAAAGCTTGGCTACATTTTCCAGGTATATTCTATTCAATTCAACCCAAATTAAACTTTACAATTTGGAATAATCTCAGCCCAAGTTAGTCAAACTATTTATTTAATAACAATAAGGTTAAAAGTTCAACTTCAGTATGATGGTCTATTGGCTTGAGCCAATAGCTATAGACAAACTAAGTTAATTTACTTTCTCATGGTCTAACTAAAATCACAATGTGAAATTTATACAAATAGTGCTAGTAGGTCTGATTAAAATCACAATGTGAAATTTATACAAATAATGTCACTAGGTTTTCTTGTCACAAAAAAAAAAAAAAATTACAATTTGGGTAATGTTTTGAGTTACAAATGCATGCATGATAACTCAATGACTCACGGTCAAATGCACAAAAGATCTGTTCACTTTGAGCATAATACTCATATTGTCACTAAAGAATATAATTTCAAATCTTGAATACTATTTACTGAACCAGGCATGAGTTATCTCGTGCGGGCACAAAATTATTACAAGTTTGACTCCAGCATGAGCGGCCTATTAGTTTAAGTTGGTCAGCTATGTACAACCTAAGTTAATTTACTTTTTTGTAGTGTTTTACTCACGAAGATCTTAAAGTAAAATTTAGACAGTGTACATCCTCTTTTAGTGATTACGAGTTTCCTGCTCGCTCAATTTTTTTTTACAATTTGGGTAATGTTTTGAGTTACAATGCATGCACTGATTCTTTCAGGATATGCCAACTCCATGGAAGAGATTCAAGTTGACCCGGAAAAGAACGAAACCGCCGAGAAGCCCCAAGTCAATTCCCGCCGCCGCCGACGTCTTACCGGCAACCTTAAACAAGATTCTAACGTTTTCCGTGGCGAGGCCGACGACGTCGAGGACAAAAGCAGATAAGGAAGAGATGGAGGAGCTGCTAAACCTGGGGCTGGAGTACGACGACACGAAGTACATTAGATTCGACGTGTTCCTGAACGACGACGAGGAAGTGAATGAGTTGGAGCTGGACAGGGCGGAGTACGCCAGCAGCTTCGCCAACTTGGCGCACGTTCACGAACGCGCCGGCGACCACACGCCGACGAAGACGACCTGGAGCTTGCCGATCACCGAGCTGCTTGAGGACTTGGGGATCGAGGGAGACGACAAAGTAGTGGTGACTTTGGTGCCAAAATGTGGTGGTAGGTCTATGAACATCACAAAGGCTGTGATTAAATTGGTGGCTTGTTATTAATGCCTTATATGCATGCCTCCTTAGACTTCTATGATTGTAATATAATGGATGGCTATATATATCCTTTGTATTTGGTCAATATCTCTTTCTTGAAATTTGAGTAATGGAAAAATACAAAGGATCCGACGGGAGTATTTGGTCGAGATCCCGATGACAGTTGCTTACAAACTAGTGTATGATTTTCGAACGATCACAGTCCGTCGTCTATTACATGCAACTCACAAGTACTAATATATATTATAGTGTATAGGGATGGGATCAGGTGCATTTGTTGCTTCTCGTGCGGATGTGCGGTGGATTAATGTGCGTGAGATTTATACTTAGTGTGCGTGAGATTTGTACTCAATGTGCCTGAGATTTATACTTAATGTGCATCATGTTAATATGCATGAGTTTTGTACTTAATGTGCCTGAATATTGTGTTTAATGTGCATGAGATTTGTGCTTAATGTGGGTGCGTATTTCAGAATTACGAGCTCAGAAGGAAGCAGAACAGAAACTCACGCACATTAACGCCCAAGCTTCTTGTTACTTCTTCCTTCAATTTGGCCATGGATTCTGGATTATCAGCTACCTTCAATGCAGTTGAATGTTTATATAAATGACGCACGCACAGTAAAATTCTCACAGCAGTTAAGTGTGGATTTCTGTTGTATTATTCCCATAATTTTTAACCACCATAGCTCGCCTCCGCATCATCATCATCAGGGAGGGGACAAATGGCTACTGGAGAAGGGGAAGAAGCTGACATCAATATTTTCTGCTGCATTTTACACATTTACGCACATTTAGTACAAATTTCAGGCACATTAAGCACAACACTCACACACATTGAATACAAATCTCACGCACATTAATCCACCGCACATCCGCACGGGAAGCATTCACCGCATGGGAACCTTTCACATAGATTATATATTACACTTTTCTTTTTCTTTTTTTAATAAAGATATAGCTAGGAAAGAATTTGGATTGGGAAAAGGAATCCAAATAATTTGGTCCTTTCGATGCCCTGCACGATGGGTCAACATTTACCAATCACAATAGTCTACGTATTTGTGAAAAGTTAATAATGAAATCCATGTTTTTCGTCACGTTTGACAAAACAGAAATCACACAGACACACACACACACACACACACACATATATATATATATATATATATATATATATATATATATTGGTTACTGTGAGAACAGATTTTCCTGTGCGGTCAGTGGCATATATAAATGCATCTTCGAGAATACATCAGAATGAAATGTCAAAAAATACACCACGAAAAAAAAAAAAAAAGACCACACATAATGGTGTATTTTCGAACACTGTGTGGTGTATTTTGTGCATACCTAATAGTGTATGTCGCACTGACCGCACAGGAAGACCTGTTCTCACAGGAACTTGACCCTATATATATATATATATATATATATATATATATATATATATATATATATATATATATATATATATATATATATATATATATATATATATATATATATATAATGTAATTTTGTATTAAATTATTTTTATTGTACTACCTCTTAATATTAAATAGTTAATTAACTGAACAGAATTTTTTTTGTTCAACTAATTGATCAGTCGACCAACCAACTCAATTGAAATTTATACAAAAGTGTAATGGGATAAAGAATATTGGGCCAAATAATGGGCTTGTTCAAAATATAATGGGGTATAATATAATATTAGTAAATTTTATATTTTGGTAAATTTTCCGTTAATTTAAAGAAATTAAAATTTTGAATCGAATTAATTAATGATTAAAATTTCTAAAAATCTAAAACACATTCCTAAGTTGAAATTTAACCTAACATTGCATTTTATACTACTGGCAAAATAAAACTATCAATTTATTTTGAGTTAATTGACCAATTAAATTATACTATACCATGACAAATGAATCTTCTAGAAAATATAGCAAGGTGGGGTGGAAGGGTTTGGTTAATTAATGCATAACGAGGTGAGGAAGAAATAGATGTGAATCATATTTAATGTCGCAATGTGAGGTGGTCTATCAAGCATGAAATTTTGATCAAGTTAGTGGAAGAGTTATGTAAAACGAGGAGGGTCAAAATTAAATATAAAACCTCTCTAGTGTAATTTGTTAGTTATTATAACATAAAAACGTAATTTATTTCGTGTACAACCTCAGTTAGTAATTGTGAGTTTTTCTCATATAAAAAAATGAATTAAAATATATAGTACTTAGTATGTGTAAATACATATATGTATGTATATACAAGTTTGAAAAGGAAAAAAAAAATTGATAGATAGATTAATTTTGAACCCTAAACTTAAGGTTACTTATCTCTCATGTCCTGAAGAGAAATGAATGAGGTAACTTACTGAATATGTCTCAACGGGCTAACAACGACACAAATAGTTATATATTAATACACATAACAATACTAAATTCAAAATGATGGATAGGTAATTATATATATATATATATATATATATATATATATATATATATATATATATATATATATATAAAACCTATTTTTGAAAATATGGTGTTTTAAAAGTTTTTTTTTTTTTTTTTTTTTTTGGGAATCACATGTTAAATTAAAGTCATAAATTCTTTGACAAAATAGTGTAATACCATTTTGCAGGTGAGACACAATGATGAAGTGATGCATCGTTGTCATAAATAAAATTAAACATAATTTGCGACAGTGACGAAACAATATAAGCTAAGCCCTATCGCGTTTAGGTATGAAAAAAAAAAAAAAAAAATCAAATCCGTAACATTATCAGTTACGGAGTAATATGAAACATAATGCGAGACCTTTACGAAAAAAAAAAAAAAAAAAAAAAAAAAAAGATAGGAAATGGCATGGTAGATGTTTCTCGTGTTGTCACTGTTGATGGACCATTTTTGAATTCTGATCTTTAACCTCATATATATATATATATATATATATATATATATATGATGGATCATTTGAAAACTATTGATACTACATCGATAGATGACTAAACTAATAATGCACACATATGAGTGTACTATTATAGATCTTGAGTGTTATCTGTGAGTGCACTGTATTATTATAGATCTTAGTGAACTGTCAATTATTCGCGAATATACTATCAAGTGTTTTTAAGTACATTGTCGTAATTATGGAGATGCCGTTGCATTTTTTTCTTAATTTTCAACTTTAAGATGAGAATAAGATTAGTTCGCATTTTTAATTTCACGGGCTACTAGTTCATATTACACACGTAACTTGAAGATATATATATATATATGGTAAGGGTTGCTGCAATAAATGTTCAAGCCAAAATGCCATAGTCACTCAAGCTTGGTGGCCTGGTTGTCATTACAACTGCGCAATAGGGATTGGCCGGTTTTAATTTGCACTGGACCATATGAATGAACCTATTAAATTCCATTTTGACATTATTGGATTCTTGCTCCACGCATGCCTCTTTTGGAACCAATACAATATTATTATTGTTGTTGTTTATAAAAATTTTATTTAAATATGTTAATAATAAATACATGAATTTAACACTCCACATTCATAATTTGTACGATGTGAAATTAAATTTAAATATTGACCAATGATATCTCATTCTAACTAGTTTGGCTTTATTAATGGATAAAAGTAATTTCAACAATGATAAAATTACAATATAGTGTTAAGATTATAGTGACACTAAAATTGGGGACTATACATTAAATCATATACTCACAATCCTACTATACCAAGTACTAGACTTGTACTTGATAATAGGGGTGTAAATGAGCCGAGCAGCTCGCGAGCCGCTTGCGAACGGCTCGGTCAAAGCTCAGTTCGAGCCGAGCCTAGATATTCTAGGCCATATATAATACATAATATAAAAATAACAATTAGAAATTAAAATTTTAAACTCAAAATCCCTAAAAGATTTCTATTAATTATGTATGGGTAAAACAAAGTAGTTTGAATTTTAAATCAAAAGTATTAAATAGGTCAAATTCAATGTCAAAATCGAGCTCGAACTCGAACAATCAAGCTACTCGAGCAGCCCGAAAATTACTGAGCTCGAGCTCGAGCTGAGCCTCCATTAACGAGCACAAGCTCAAGCCTACCCAGGTTCAAGCTCGGCTCGACTCGTTTACACCCCTACTTGATAAGTGTTTTATTGTTCATATTTTACTTGCACTTTACCCCATATTTAATCTCATTTTCAAGCTCCAAAATGTAGATATCATGTTAAAAGAGATCCTATTTGCTTTGTTTGTGCATTTAGGTATAATATCTCTCATCACTAGCTTGAAGCAAAAAGAAGTATTTTCATGGCTAAAACACTTTCAAGGGAGTAAAAGAGTATTGTCTTCAATGGTCTTCATCTATCACTTGGGCAAACCAAGGAAAAAGTGAAACAAAAGAGCAAGAAGTTGAAATTCTCGCACAGATTGATCATTGTTTGGTATTTAGATCATATCTCGGCGTAAGACTGTCCAATTCAAATCAAGTAATTCTTGTGTCATTCGAAAGAAACTTAAAAGGATACAACTTTGATGAAGACAATTATGACTAGTTAGGTTGTCACGCACCTCATCACGTCGTGACAAGGATCGTGACGTGCATATTCAGTAGATGTCTCCTGTTGTCTCACGCATACCACCATGCAATAACAAGCCGCATGACGCCGAGTTCCGACCAGTAGCCATTATTTTTTTGTGTCATGAGGCTCGTTACCTCGTGATGGGCCTTGTAACGTGCGTTTCCCCGAGTATAAATTACATATTTCTCTCATTTCTCTTTGGCTTTGGTCCCCATCTCAAACCCTATGTGGATGAACTTGTTTTCTCCCGTTTTTCTATCATCAATTTAGGGTAGGTTAGACTAGATTTAGGGTTATTTACATATTTTGAAGCTTGTATTGAAGATTCTACACTTGGATTTCAAGATTCTAGCTATCATCCATTTCATGAGTAGTTAATTTTTAGACTTGAGTTAGGGTTATGCGAGGACGATGCACATAAGTATCGTAACCTAAT